TGGTCAAGAAGTTTAACTTGAGCTGCAGTTATGGCGATGATTTGATAGTTCAATAATGATCAAATAGCCAATTCCCTTCCACTGTGATGCCCACCTGAACTAGAAATGTAAGAGACCAGTCACACAGAGAATTCCACTTTCCGTTCATGCCGAGCAATATTTACAAGTGCTCCAGCCTTTGGTGTCTACATTTCGCAATATTTGACGAACAATCAAGCATGCTCTGTCTTCAAAGAGTACTTGACTCTTGCCCAAAAGATGTTTGATTTAAGTTTGTTTATTTTTACCTTTTTCCTCATTTGATGTGGGATCAAACAGTCATGACTTGTGAAGCCTTCAGAGTGTTTTATGGAACATTTACACATTAAACGCATCAGCAGCCAAAATGATGTCCGATGCACTTCCCTATTAGCATGTGTTCCCGTGTTGTTTCAGGTGAATAATTGACTTGCCTTTGCATGTATTTGCAACGGATGCCCCGGTGGAGCGGGATATGCTCAACGGTTCGTGAACTGTTTACTGTTGAATAGTTATTCTTAAACACATGCTCTTGATGTCGTCGCAAAGTGGATGCTGCCTTTAGCATAGATTTCTCATGATATATGAAATGGTATTGTCGCTTCTATTTACACTATTGTCATACATGTTTCGTTCTGCTGCAAACAAACAAATATCAGCGCTCTGCAGAGCAATAACTTTAAGGAAGGCTGTGTTATGCATACAGATTTGACAGCTCTTATCCATATGCATTTTTTTTAATATCCTCTTTGTCTATTCTACTGACAAACATTCATACAAATCAATTACGTTTGTAACTGCAATTGCGTAGCATTGGATGTGTATTCACAAGGTTTTGTATTGAAGGTTTTGAACGTGCTGAACGACTTCATTTCATCACAAGAAAGTTGGTACATATATAGACTGTCACACGTCACACATTTATTGGTAGTTGTCCCGCCGATATAATCTTCAGAGATGACATCCAATTTATTTTCCTCCCAAACATCTATTCTAGGCACACATGGAACAAGTCAATTCATACTGGTCATTGGGGAGTATTTATAAACTAGGATCATCAGCATTCCGACATGTACGATTCCCGTGATTTCTGCTCTATCTTCGTCGCACAGACTTGACCTTTGCCACCGCTCATTTCGGTACCCTGAAGATGAGATTTTAATTTCTGCAGGACATTACCATGCCTTCACGAAAATCACATCTTTTCAACCAGGCGCCAAGAATGACTTGCTGATATGAATGGAGTCTAATACAGAAGCTCGTGAAACTGGGCATCTTTGCGAGGGACATAAAGTAGTTATTGATCAAGTAAACGGGATTCAGTTCTGTAACTGCAACAAATCAGTCGATTTTTGCCTCGTGTTATAGGGGCAAATAGGAGTACAATAATGTCTAGGACCTAATGACATTATCAGCAGTGAAGTACAGGGTAGAAGTTGGAAGGACAGGCTGTCTCCAAGCGTTGAATGTTACAAAAGAATAATTTACTCAGATAGGGTAAGGGACATTTTCTTGCGTAACAGGGCTTAGCAGACTCAATTACATGTACATGTAAATTGTCAGCCAGGAAACTGCTGTAGTTAGCACGACTCTTATTTACATTTTCCCAAGAAATATTTTGAACTGAGACCACTCACGCGTCGTATCCCAGTTGGATATGTAAATCCTGAAATTCCAACGAAAGAAAGACGTATTCGTAATCGAACAAGAGAGTTATTGGTTTAGCTGGAATACCCATGTGAGTAATCTTCACCAATTGTTTCAATATAGAAAAGTCCATGTCAGGAGATGAGGTGAAATGGGGCTTAACGTGTCTTTCCAGGTTATTGCATCTATCAAGCTACGTGTGTGTGTGCTTCTGCTACTACGGACTACTGCCGGACCAAAACAGTTCTTGTGTTATCACCATAATTCTGAGGAATCGGTACAATTTTAACGTCCAGTGAGACCAGTGTTGTAGATGCTGAAACCAGAACGGTCGGCTATGGTAGATTAATACTAGATTGGAGTACCGTCGATATTCACGTTTTGAATTCGAAATCCTGCATTCACAAAACAAACATTGGCGTTGTTTTACCATTTATCTGTCAGAAAGACGTATGGTTCAGGGAACAAATATGCTACCTCATCTTGTCTCAGCAAAAATATGCCTTAACAAAATGACATACTTTGTCCCGGAACAAATGTATCATGGCCATTGTTCAGCTTCCCATTCAGGGAAAACTATATGTCTTGACGCAGTAACCAAAGAATATGCCCATTACACCCGACCTCCAGAATATCATATGATCGGCCCAAAAGAATGAGCTCGTCAGGCTGACGATCAAGCTACTAGACCACAGAGGTGGTTGGTACACACAAGAATGCAATAGAAAACACGTGAACGGGATACATGAAATGCAATAAAACATTTCGCTGCATTACATATTTCAGATACACTCTGTACATACACTTGTATGTATCTCAAACGCACAGAGGAGTGGTAACAATTGTTATCTAATTACAGGAATAAGAAGTTTTGTTACAGCTTTTATGTGCCTGTTTAACATTTAAACGACTGATTGAAATTTGTTTGACGCCACTTTCAACTATATATTACAACAGTTTCATGTCGGGATGCACAACCAATGGGCATCATAACCTGTATACATGTCGGGAATCGACCCCGGATCTTCGGCGTAACGACCGATGGCTTTAACCATTGGGCTACCCCACCGCCCCGTTGTACAGGATCTTTCTATGCGTTAGATATGTTTTATTGAAAATATGCTTCCTGTCTCTATCAAAAACCATCATTGAACACACATAGTCCGGATAGTCTGAATATCATAATTGTAATAATAAACGTGACACGACAAAACATGCCTTCTATTTGGCGGAAAATGTGAATACATATATACAGTGTCAATGTTAGCGGATAATAAGGTACATGGAAACATTTGAAATGTTATTAAAGAGAAAACGTGCAATTACAATGATTAGGATGTGGCTAAATACCATAGCATCATTGGTTTGTTGGTTTATTGTTTAACGCCGCACCCCGCAATATTCCAGGTATATGACGGCGGTCTGTAAATAATCGAGTCTGGACCAGACAATCCAATGACTGATATCATGAGCATCGATCCACGCAACTGGGATACGATGACATGCATCAACCATGTCAGCGAGCCTGACCACCCGATCCCGTTAGCCACCTCTTACGACAAGAATAGTCGCATTTTAAGGATTATTAAGAAGCACTTACTTCTAAACCTTAGGCTTATGTTCGACACATGTCACCGTCATCTATGTCACGGTATATATAATGCATGCTTATGTATCATTACATTCAAATACGACAAACATCACATCGTCAGACGAGATGAGACATTGCAAGATCACCACATGGCCGGACCCGTAACAGTCCACGAAACTATGCGATATCAAGCTGCATATATTTTCAACACCTGCGTTACATGAAATCCATATAGTCCAGTGGTTCCCTGAGCTCTACTCTATGTCAATTCTACTTGAACTGTTAATTACGTTTGATATAAAACATATACCTCAAAAATCAAAGTATCGGCCTTACGAAAACGACAATCATCTGAAGACGATTTCCTTGAATCAGGTTTCCTTGAATCAGGTTTCCTTGAATCTATTCTGGTTCAATGCAAGTACATAAGTTGTGACTCTGTATGTCATCCGAAATGCATGTGACGCATATTTGAATAGCTCTGTATTTGTTTTGTGAATATCACTGTTGTAATTCATCCAAACAGTGTATACCACAGATGCTTAGTCAACTCTGAGCAGGATTGCGTCTCATGTGTATGTGTATGGTTCATACTATGCCCAGCCTGATTGTGCAGCATCCAGTACTGGTTTGATTGATGGTTGCGGGAGTATAAGTGACAGGGCCTTAGCAGACCATTAAAAACGTCGAGTAATCCTATAAACTTTACACAGTGGAACACAAGCGTTGAAATCAATAAACAGACGCCGTAAAATAAACTTCCAAACACGAACTTTGTTTATGTTAACTCTGAAGCAAAAAAATATATAAAGTGTTAGTTTGTATTTTGCTGTTACACGGAATATTCCGCCCCACTTTATTATTTCTTATAACATTTTATTATTTCTTATAACATGTTTATTCAAGGCATGGACGTTAGTGGGCATTGTGATAACGGCAGTAAATTGACCGGATAAAGGACTTTAAATTATCGAGTCTAGGTCACACAAACTACTGGCAAATTACACAACATACAGTTCTGCCTCCGACTTCTTTTGGGTCATTACAAAGGTCGACGTATTCATCACACATTAGTCACAGTTCGTGTACATATACGTATCGTGTCTTGCCACAACCCATAAATCGTATGTCAAATGACAGTTCACATTCTTCATGTCTTGGAAGGAGTGAGATGTCAGTGAGGCTTTGTGTAAGGTCGCGTTGTACATTAATGTATGCGCGGTCATATTGTGGCGTGTTAACTTAATGTGGGAGGAAAACCCAGCGAGACGAGGGTTGTAGATGCTGAAACCCAAACGGACGGCTATGGTAGATTAATACTAGATTGGAGTACCGTCGATATTCACGTTTTGATTTCGAAATCCTGCATTCACAAAACAAACATTGGCGTTGTTTTACCATTTATCTGTCAGAAAGACGTATGGTTCAGGGAATAAATATTCTACCTCATCTTGTCTCAGCAAAAATGTGCCTTAACAAAATGACATACTTTGTCCCGGAACAAATGTATCATGGCCATTGTTCAGCTTCCCATTCAGGGAAAATTATATGTCTTGACGCAGTAACCAAAGAATATGCCCATTACACCCGACCTCCAGAATATCATATGATCGGCCCCAAAGTAGCCAGGCTTATCCCGTGATCAGCGGATGCACATAAGTTCATCAAGCTGCTACCCGAGGATATGGGTCGTTGCTATGCCGTATACCACATGTTTGTCTCTTGCATCATCAATGGTCGCGACAGCAGTAGAAAGAACATTTATTCACTCACAAGATTCAGAGACATTCACACAAATGATAGACTCGTGAAATCAAAAATTCAAAACAGCAATAGTTAATCGAAATATCTATATTTACAGTGTCCTGGTCGATATGTCCCACACGCCGTTGGACCATAGTTAAATATATCAGGAATCACTATTCAAAACGTGTCAGTAGAAAACTGATGATGTCATCTGCTCACTTGTCACTGCTATACGCGCATTTCATTATATCGTTCTTGCTGAAGACACAATTCACTTTAACTTGAAAATTCCTCATTTGTTTCATATGATATTTCGTCGTTCGTCGTGTCTTATTCAACTTCTTGTGAATGGCCTTATATTGTCATCCAACTGTTCGTCATACAATCCACAAATACGATCGGTGTGTCCGATGAATATGCATTTGCATATGTCTTCATTACAGTTGTTTGTGTTGGCAGTCATGTGATGCAACGGGGGAGTGCGGCGATGGAGGGATGTGTATCCAAGCAATGTGGTAAAGTGATACTGCAGCTTTGAGAGCTCATTGAAAATATTCCTTTGTGTTGACGCAAGTAACAGCTCCAATAGTACAAAATCCAAATACAGAATACAAACATCACTTGGAATGGAAGTCTATCACATACATCACATACCATTCGACTGTAAGCATTTGTGACGGAGGCACACCCTTGGCTACCTGGCAATACATTTCACAACCATAGCAGCATCCCACTGATTTAAAAGAATGTCAAATTTAGCATCCTCACAACAGACACGTGGTGCGTGATCTGGATCCTGATTGGATGTCCTCACTTCTCCACCAGCCCGGTAGCATAAATGACGAACTTCAGACCTAGGCTGAAACAAACAAAGAATATTTTGCACTTTTTAGGGTCACCTTATGTCATCAATATTTCATAGTGATTCCTTCACACATAATTATGATACAGTCGGAACCATGCCCTGGACACTTATGACATTTCGTACGGTAATGGAAAAAGAATCGCTTTCATGTACATGAAAAATAACGTGATCGAAACGATGAAATCAGAGATGATTTATAAATTTCAATTTCTCTGTTATTTCCAGCAACGATTACTTGATAGGACATGTACACATAAAGACTTCTACACAACTATGCCACCCCTACCCCAAACCCCCAACATGATTGAAAAAGGTACTTGCATCTCACCTGAATCGAAATCTTGCATAGAGAGAATAATGAAGCTGAATTCATTATCATCTTTTCATTGTTACTACAGCTTCTAAAGTGTCACTTACAAACACGATTTCAACGTATCTGAACATAGAAAGTCAACTTCCTCTTACGTTTTACTTTACCAAATAAGTGTTGAGAATAATGTACTATGTTGTGGGTGAGTGGAATTTTTTATATCACCTTAGCATTATTCCAGCATTATTGCCAGCAGTATCATCCCGGGGGACACAAGAAATGGGCTTCACACAAACGAACACGGGTCTTCGGCGTGGGGAGCGAAAGCCTTAACCCCTAGGTTCCCCGACCGCCCCGTAGCCCACTCTGTGGCCCCGTAAAGGAACACACATTTTTTCATGTTTGCGGTAATGACCATCCTATAATAATCGGGACGTGAACTATTTGTTTTTTTTCGTCTGAAAATACAGCAACTGTATCATTTCCGTTTTTCTCAGTTTTTCGTACATACTCTTCTGTCAAGTGTTGTGTTCACTTTTTTGCAATTATAGCCTCGGCAGCTAGGTCGATAACGAACTGATACTCACTCTCGTTCACCAAAGGAACAATGAGTCATCATGTTTTTTTATATGTCGCTTCATTGCATATTTGCAAAATAACTCATACGAACAGCAATTTAATCAAAACTGAAAGTACCCACCATGCAACGAAAACTGAATCCCAGTGCGACATCCACTGGAACGACTGCCACAGTCTCACTATTGTTACAACATATCATCTCTGAACACACTATCGTAAAGTCAGCATTACTTGTGGCATATCCGAGGATCCCATTGCAGCATCTGTCATTCACTGTAATATTTGGAGTTGGCAACGCAGTAGTCTGAAAATATACATGAATAGCATAAGCACGTGTAACATGTATGCATATAGACTAACACAGTCTGTGAAAACATTTCTTTAAAGTAATTATATTTTTATTTTCTTAAAAAAAAGCTTTCCTCTTCTGCTGTTGGTTTGGTTTAGTATGATCTCGACTTGCCTAGCTTTTAGTAAAAAAATATCTATCTATGTTCCACAATCATGCCACAGGTCTAGGATGCATAATACTATTGGTAATACAATTACACCGAAAACTGAATTCATTTTAACTGTAGAACAAAATGAAAATACATCTGTCGTGTAATGGGGTGAACACATACAAACTAAATTACCTCTCCAAAAATACCATGATAATGTAATAATGATATAATAGTGACTAATCACTATCTCATGAGTAATCTACATATTGGTGCTTTTTAATCAGTGAAGCTATTTTGAGGGTGGCCTTCCATTGAAATGTCCAACTTGTATTCAGATGGTAAAGCCGCATCTCGAGATAGAGCTTCAGCAGTGGCGTTGAGCAATGATCAAAGAGGCAGGAAAGAGATACTTTGTAATCGGACGACTGGGCAAATCCCCTGAGGATGAAGTGTGTTATCCCTGTTGTATCGCTCGCCACTACGACTGGGCTGAGGTAAACATGAGGAGCAATGGGAAGCTTTAAAGGATTCTGTACGTAACCTTGAGAATGTGACAGTAAAATACATTGGGACCAAATGTATTAGAGTCTTGGGGTAAAGTTAATGCAATTGTGTTCTAAAACTAGAAAGGCACTGGGAATAGTCAAGGTGTCGTTCTTTGCTTTCTATTTGCAGTCTGAATTCTAAACTTCACGAGGAGGGAGGGGGTGGGGGTATCTGCCCTGCAAGTTGGCAGTAATGGCCATTAATGTATTAACGCAAGAAGCACATGTACAAGTGAGTTGGATGAAACTGTTTAGTGACTTACTAATTAATAGTGACTCATAAAGACATGCTTAGTAAAAGGATATAGCAGGAATCGTACAACGGAAATTTGAGATTAAGGAATTGGTTTTGTCGCTTCTATTTGGTACAAATCAGAATGAATGCTCTTACTAACAATTCAAGTGGTCTTAGTTACAACCACCTCTGTCAAACAAAATTCCACATCTCCATGTCATATACACTATATATTTCTTCATACTCAGTGTGGCGACATCGTTATTGGTTCATAACGAAAAGGCTTCAGGCAAGGCGAACTTAGTCGTACAGACCATTGTCCTTTTTATGAGGTGAAAGAATATCAAATGATCTTTTTCTACTAACCCCTGGTTTCGTTCTAGAGATATTGTTCAGAAGTATTTCAACTTTATCACGGTAAAGGACACCAATAATGGACTCCACATATTCTACACAGGTATGAAATCGAACCCGGGTCTGAGGCGTGACGAATCCCGAATTTGTACACACTTAGCTAACAGTAACAAAACAAACAAGCCATAAACATGCGGTGATGTCTGGATTACTGAGTAGATTCAGGTAACCACAGGCGGGAGGTAAAGATCATAATTGACAGTGAGCCAGTGAATAGTGTTTTACGCTGTGGTCGGAACTTTTACAGTCATATAACTTATGTATCTTTTATATCACAGCTCAAGACACATCTCTTCCCTGAAGCATATAACTTGCATGAGGCAGACAGGCAGGGTGAGAAACTGTTCTGGGGCACTCTACCACTTTGCATTTGCTACCTGTATATGTATTGTTTTAGATGTAGCGCTCCGAGTGTTGGGGGGCTAACGCAATATAAGCACACATTATTATTATTATTATTATTATTATTATTATTATTATTATTATATTAAAAATATAAAATGCAGCAGAGAGGGTTTGGGTGATCCTGGCACAGTCAGGCTGGTTAGGCTCATCATCAGTCCCGGGCCCTTGCCCCTTCTACACGTATCCCAGACTGCGAATTGGACTTCTCCCACGAAGCGCTGCCTAGTCAAACCCAGCCGGAACTTTTCGGTGAATGTGAAGATTCACCAACACTGCAGCCTTCTGCAATATTGAGTCGAACAACTTGGTACTTGGGATGCAAGCGTGACATTTCGAAAGCGAGGTCCGCATATTTGCCATGTTTTTCCCGAATCTTGTCAATCACATTGGTGTCAAAAGGGACAGAAAATTCAATAATAACAAGGATTTCATAGGATTTATCAAAAAGGACAAGATCAGGATTGTTGGCTTGGATACGTCTGAGGCTGACCCATTCCTAAGAATTTTGTATTTATCATCATCATCATTATGATTATAATTTTTATTTATGTTATTAAAATATTCGAGTCAGTCATATCAGTGGTTGAAAGCACGGGCACTGATCGACCTCATCGGGGAACGCTGGCACAACATTAGCCAGGTCAAACATTATATAATCCAATGGTCGTCATTATCCGTTCCTTGCAACAAATTGTAGGTTATTGGTGATGATAAACACGATCACATATTGTAACCACATTATCCCAATTTTAGTCGCAGCGAAAACCCAAGGGAGTCGCAGCTACTGTACACGTGACATCATGCTTCTTTCAGCAGTATCAAGACTACCCTTCATTTGAATCTGTATGAAGTTTAGAACCGGAAACATATCTAACTTCATCAATTGATAATAAACAAAGTGTGAGTGAGTTTTTCGCCGATGTGAACGCTATTTCAGTTACATCACGACGTGTCAGCTTGATGAAAACGGGCGGTCGGGTAGCCTAGTGGTTAAAGCGTTCGCTCGTCACGCCGAAGACCCGGGTTCGATTCCCGACATGGGTACAATGTGTGAAGCCCATTTCTGGTGTCCCCCGCCGTGATATTGCTGGAATATTGCTAAAAGCGGCGTAAAACCAAACTCACTCACTCACTTAATGAAAACATGAAGGGAAGCAGGTTGTAGACGTTAACAATCTTTTCAAAACCCACGAGCACAAATATGGAGCAGAACAAACAAGAAACATAATCATTGTTGACCGGGATTCCAATCAACGATCATAAATTCCTGGCACACCCAAGGGACGTAACTCAAAAGAGGTTAAGGAACATACGATATGTTCGTAAGGCTGTAGTGAATATGTCATGGCTGGTGGGTTTACAACACATACATATGTAGCAGTCTTCAAATTGATGGTGTTCTTCAACTTATTTTGAGTAGTATATATTAGTACATATACAATGCAATTAGTAACTGCTATACAAACTCATGCTGTCTTTATCTTACTGTTTCTTTTATATGTCTGAGACATTCCATGGTCACTGAGCATACCAAAACGTATATTAAGTCAGCGTCACATTTAATTATGTCTGCATTTAAATTAAAGGCATCATATCACATCGTTACTATAAGCGAGCCGGTTCAATAGACATCCTCACAGTAAAGTCATCTTTGGTATGCAAATGTCGACATTTATCAAAGCTAAACGCCTTTAATACCAGCTAAACTATTTTTTCCAGTTAACTGGTTCATCTCAAGGGACGACTGGTGTGAACGCTCGCAAATCTCCCCAGGCACAAGCAAATGGAGAAGAGAGCGGGTTGTGTCATTTGAGACCTGATGAAGCAAAATTGTGTTACACGATCTTCGCCGGAGATGCACCGTCCTGGCCAGACAGCCAAAGGGACATTATTATAAATTTCAGAAGCAGAATATATTGATTGACACTCGTGTATGCAGTTTCATTCCTCCAGCAGCCATGCCTGATAGTCCTTCTTGACCCGTGAGACCTTACGGCGATATAAGAACCACCGCGGATCCACAGTAAACCTTTGCAGGTATTTGCTTTGAGATCTGATGTCAAAGGAGTCATGACTAGACACACTTATGTCGCGATGATGCGTGGTGGTGATCATACAATCGTCGTATCTTGGGATGTTTGAATTGTTCATATCCACTGACACAATATTGAGTTGAAACGAAACTTGTATCTTGGGCTGCATTGATTCATCATAATACTACACAAAAAAGGCAAAGAACATCCGATTCTTTTCAGATGAGAATAGTTTATGTAGGAAAAAACTGTAGTCATATGAACAAATCGGGTGTTCTTTTACTGCTTTTAAGAAGAATACATGGGCAAAACATGGATGTGCGTTCCTGGCTGAAACTTGGGTGAGGTGAAGTATGGTTTAACGTCGCGTTCATGATTATTGCACCTTAAAAGCAAGTGTTTGGCTACTGGTACTAGTCCGGACTAATACCCGTTTTACAGTGCTAGCTCACCGAGATACCATGTCGAAGTTTAACATGGATACCCCACACAGATACGGTATACTGACTCTCAGCCGGCCAGTCCTTGTTCGATCCCCTTAAAGCCGAGCGCCGGGCGGGGTAACAGCAAGTACCATCTTTAATCGCACATTGGTATGACGCAAACCACCGACCTTCCGCTCTCCACACATGTTCTCCATCTATGACCACAGAGGCGGACTTGCATTTTGGGTTGCATTGATTGTACTTCTGTATATACATGGACACAACAGGCATTGATCTTGATTAAAATGACAGGGCCCCGGTCCACTAATCGATCGTCGAGCTAGGGTAATCGTAACATTGACTAACGACGGTCGAAGCCACAGATCGCTTTAAGGAAAAGGGTCTAGGGTGTATCTTAAAATGATAGGTGATGAATGTATATATGTCAAATGTATATTTGATTTTCAGTGAATGTTCGGCAGAGTGTAATATTCCACAAACTTAAAATACATTTGCTAATCATTTATTAATCATATATCTTGATACGACTAATGCGTGATACTGATTGAAAGAATGACTATATTCATGTACGTCATGACAACATCGAGTTCTGTTTTGTGTGATCATCTTACAGCTTTTTAAAACAAGACACGTCCTGGACATAGTGTGTATTAAATCCGAAATATGAACGCATGTTGAGATTCATCTGAAATCACATTCACATGGACGTATGTCTTTTTCGTGCAGCTAATTCCCAAACAGAACCAGTTAAACCGACATGTTACATTCTGTGACAAGTAAAAT